GGGCGGCCTAGCAGGAGTGGAAGGGAAGGAGCAGATAGATCAGTGCAGCAGCTCCGCTGGGCGGCTCAGGGGTTCTCTTGAAGCCACGGTAAATGTAGCTGCTGTGGACAGAGTGAGTCTCCGTGGAGGTAGTTGAACTCCAGGTGAGCCCCCAAAAGCCCACTGCTGGCACAGAAGCCCAGCTGGGAGCCCTGCTCCTAGTGCCTGATCCCAGGCTTCTGTCCTGAGCACCATACCTTCCCCCCACCCCGGCCACTGGGCTGTCACAGCTGCAATGTGGGGTCTGCTGGCTACTGTGCCATGTTTTTTGCATTGAAAGCCTTGTGGGGTGGGGGGTGGAGGAAGGGGAGTAGGGACTTGTATTAAAATAGCAATTCCAAGTGGCAAGGGGAAGCAACGATGGTGGACTCAAGCTGGGAGAAGGAGAAGGGGGGGTGGGAGAAGGGAGGTGAAAACCTGGGAGGAGGGAGCTGGAAGAGGGAAGCAAGGGGAAGAAGGGAGAGGCAAAGCTCAGGATTGGGTGTCTCACCAGACCAACTTGATTGTCATGCTCCTGGGTTCGCATGTGGCCTTTGGTGGCCAGGCTGGCAGCTATGCTCGCTAACTACAAAAGCAGCTTCTCCTCTCTTGGTATTCACACCTCCAGATCAGCTACTAGAAGTGGGCCTCATCCTCCCTGATTGGATCCACCTCATCATCTCCAGCCTGATCCTGGCCTGCATATTTATACCTGCCTCTGGGGATTTCCACTACATGCATCTGACGAAGTGGGTCTTTGCCCACGAAAGCTTATGCTCCAACACTTCAGTTAGTCTATAAGGTGCCACAGGACTCCTCGCCGATCCTACAGGAAGTTTTTTTTAATGTAGAAAGAGATTTGTGGAGTAAAGAAGGGTTTTGACATGAACCATATTACACTCAAGACTCTGAATGATGAATCTCTGAACACCTAAAGAGGATATCTTCATGAAACTCAGACTGTTCCAGGCATTGGGTAACTAAATAGAATAAAATGAGTGACAGTGACAGAACAAGAAGTTTGTCAGATCTCTTGGTGAAAAGACAAATTACAGAGGTATTTTATTCCAATTTTAAATCTAAATATAATATTCAGTAATCAGTGTTTAAACTGTTTTTAGTCACTTCTTAATAATATTAGTATAAACAAGGGATCATAATAAAATTGAATACACTCCACTGTTGAGAGAGCAGACTAGACATCATGAATTCTGTTCTTTATTTGTGCCTATTAAAATGTAACCTTTCACAAGGCGCAATTTTGGGGCCATTTCCCAGCTGAAGAATGGGGAACACACACATATAGAAAATTAAAAGCTTAAAGTCCAGTTATGGTCAGAAAAAATGACTATTAATAGCTCTAATTTAAAGTGAATCCAAACAGCTTAAAAATTAATAAGGTGACCTGTTTACCCTGTATTCTACGGACTCACATTTCGCATTTTTTAAATTTTCCTCTCCTATTGTTTTGTGAAAGAGGGACATTTGGGGAAAGTGACCTTTACAGGAGAAACAATGAAAGTGCCCCCTCTCCCCTGACACACATATGTGGTGTGTGTGGGGGGAGGGGAGGGAAATCTATTTAATTTTCTATCCTCTTCATCTGTAGTAATTTTAAGAGTTATAAATATGTTGTAAAGTACAAAGCTTTCAGACAAGTGTAATTTTATTTCAACTTGATAGTGTCCCTTTAAGATATTTTCTCCAGTATTCTAAAAATCTACTTTCCCAGGGTAAGGAAGGTGGTATTAGATGTATCATTGTCTACAACTCAGTAAAGGAGGGGCAACTGGGTTTTGTGCTCAAGCTGGTAAATTTTCATTAGATTTTGGAATACTGTTTACCAAATAAGGTTTTTACTAATTTAATCTCATTAGCACTGCAGGAACAAACCAATAGTTATGGAACAGTGAGTGGAATTCTGGTAATCAAACAGTATATTTCGGCAGCAAAAAAAATAAAAACTGGTATAGGTTGAACCTCTTTAGTCTGGTACTCTCTGGTCTGGCAACATATGAGGTCCAGCATGATTACAGGCACTTATGAGTATGGCCAAGTTTACCACAGTCCCATAAAGTTTGTTTACAGCCACCATTCCTAGCTCTCTGTGTTCTGTGCTCTTTTTTTTTAAATGGTCTAATTTCTTGTAAGAGCCCAGTAAGCAGCTAAAGTGTTGGTAATGAAGCTAGACAATATTGACCTTCACTGGTTTGGCACCAGTCAGATCCCAAGGGTGCCAGACTACAGAGTTTCAACCTATAATGTCAAAATCAGAGAGAATTTCTGTCTGGCTTCCAGATCCAGGAGAATCTGGGGTTGGCAACTGAAGAATTATTTTGTGGTTGAGAACAGAGCACAATAGGAGCAAAAATTTCACAATGATATAAGCCACAGAACTCTCAAGCCACTTTTCAAGTAATTTTTCAGAACAAATTATGCTTTGGGTCCAGTCTTACCAACACATCTTGTTCGGTATATAGCGCTTGCACTAATAAGTCAGTTGTAATGATGCAAGCAGGACTATTCATGGTAGTAGAATACCCTCAGGATCCAGTGTTTGCAAAATTAGGACCTTAATTTGTAAAGCAAGTTAAATTCATCTGGCAAAGAGGCCAGGTATAATTGACTAAATTAAATGTAGACATAAGTGAGCACAGCTCCACTTGAAGTCAAAGAGGCACAGCTCTAATTAGGCCATAACTGATTTTGATACCATCACAAAATTACTGGATTACATTCTATAATATTAGCTATTAGCAGAGATCCCCGTACTGTTCCATGGGACCTGAACATATCACAAAATGGTAGTTTTTCGGGTTAAGAGATTTTTCACTAACAAACTCACCTATTTCCATGCTTCAATGAAGGTAGGAGAAATGCTGCCCAAAAATCACAATTCACTTTTAAACGTATCTAGAATCACACAAATTCTGAATGAACTGAGACCAAATCTTATAGTCCTTGTTTGGTGGGAGTTTTTGCTTAAAGAAGGTGATAGAATTTGACACAATAGCTTGAGGGTAAAACAGTAACTTCATTCAATAAAAGATGTATAAGTCATACAATTAAGCAGCAATACTACTATTTAAAATAAAAATCTTTTGTTTTCATAAATAAGTCTATATAGAAGTAAGTGATATTCCAGAAGATTTTGGAAGCAAAATCATGTGTAATTAAGATTTTAATACATTAAATATAATGTTTGAGCAAGCAGATTTTTCTACCAAACAAGATCAAGGCACAGCTAATTACTTGGGATTCCCACATAGATAAAGCATCTTTATCCATTATATGTGAGAATGTATTCAAAAATATATTTATATATAAAAAGTACAAAATACTTTATACTTTGGTTTAAAACAGCAGCAGTAATTCTACTGTTAAATCTCTACCAATGTATGTTATTGCTAGAGAAAGGCCATTTAGCAAGTTTTCAAGCAAGGGGGAAAAAAAAATCTAATGGTACTTTCTCTAGCTAGATTTATATATTTTTTTCTAAATGTTTCCTCAATGAAAACAGGCAATTTTATCACTTCTGATAATATATCTGCTCACATAAACATTAAAGCAGGTATTGCTAGTCTCTATTTTTTCTTCCCAAAAGAAGAATAGAGTTAGGGCCTCAATCCTACAGATGTGGATCATACCACATCAAGAGGACTGGTCATGGGTAACTGGAGGGTAAGAGTTTATAGCTGCCATGGCAAAAGGCCCCATAGAAATTAGTAAAGTAATTACTTGTCAGAAAAACATGATTGGGGGAGCTAGTCGAAAAAGGGAAAGTGGAAAAGCTCTCAATTATACCTTTCCTCAGACTTTTAGAGATCACAGCACTAGAACTGAAACCAAATGTTAATTACTACATGTCCCAAGTAATTTGTATTGTGCCATGCAACTGTACTGGACAAGCAATACTCTCTCGCAAACACCAACATCAAACAGAGAGAAATAAGGCTTTCCTCCCACCCCTAACAGATACTAAGGCCTAAAACGTAATTCCTCTTACACACTGATATATTCACCATTCAACATAAAGAAGAAACAATCCAGATAAGAAGGGTGAGAGATGCATGCTCGGTACAGCCATACCTCAACATCAGTCTCTTAAGATGTCTTTTACTGTAAGAAATTAGCACAGTACTTATTAATCTCTCTTTAAAGAAAATCAATAGTCCAGCTAGTTCATGCATGGAGGAGTCGACATAGCAAGGGCAGAAGCAAAAAAAATAAAAAAAATTACAGTTTTATGCAAAATGGCTGCCAGGAGGTGGCAAGGTGTCGCCTCTGTGATCCAGCTGATCCTGAAGTCGTGCAAATTCAGCAAGTTCATTCAATTCTTGAAACTGCCTGTCTGTTTTGTGGCTCACCAGTGACCTATAGAAGTGGACTGCAAACACAATGAAAATCAATCCAAAAGGAACCATAATAGATGTTGAAGCAATGGCTGCTGCCTGTCCTGGGGTGATGGTAGAATTGTCAGGAACTGAATTAAGAGGGTACTTTTTTAGTGGAAGAAATTTCACCCAACACAACAGCACCACCTCTGCAAGGAAGAGCAAAGTCCCAATGACAGTGGAAAATGCCCAGGCGAGCTCAATGTGCCGGTGCATACGCTCATGTGGAGACTCCTTTACAGAATTGAGATTGTGCACATTACTGACAGCCTCTATATTTGGCAGAATGCAGGTACTTATCATGAGAGCAAAGAGGTGAACAGCAACAAGCACAGTAGTACAGGCACTGAAAGCTATCAAGAGACCCGGAGGGTAGACATCCTCTTTCTCTAGCTGAACCTCCACCATAGCCACCTGGAAAGGAAGAAGGAAAAAAAACCACAATTCAGTATTAAATCTAAGACATCACTTTACAAACAACAAGTTTAACATTAGCAGGTTTAAACATTTCCATTTTACATCAATGCAATATTTTAGGGATATAATTTAATTCTCACTATGTCTGGACAATGAAAAGAGACTTGGCAATATCACTTACTGATTTGTCATGCAATACTATAATGTTGCAAAGTTTGGGCTCCAATCAGTGGATAAACATCAAATTTAAAACATTCAAAACTGAATTAAAAAAATTAAATTTGAAATTATATGACATTTCATATTAAAGCCTAAAATTATTGTAATATATTAAAATAATCTGAATTACGGATGTAATAGTGTAGTCGATTTACCGATAAGCAAAAGGTTATTGGTTAATGCTATAGATTACATGCATTTCCCACCCTCCCACCAGTAAATTTTTTAGCAGGCTGGCCAGCAGCCCAGCACAGTCCTGGCTCACGCCAGGCAAGGACCCACCCCAGCTGCGGTTCTGAATTAAAGTGTATTAGGAGCCGGGTGGGTAGGCAGCCCAGCTCAGTTCCTCATGATGGGTCCGGGAGTTCAGACATCTCCTAGACAGGGGCTGCTGCCACCTTGCACTGCTGCCTCTTTATCAGAGGCAGCAGCACAGGGCAATAGGGCAGCCAGTCTGCAAGGGGAGCTGGTTTTGAAACTGGCTCCCCTTCTGGACTAGCTCCTGCCTGATGCCTCTGTATGAGAGGCAGATATGCAGGGTAACAGCATGGAGTGGTGGGGGCTCATTGGGAGTGAGGTCAGAGTGCACTGGCTGCCGGCTCTGTCCCCAGAGGCTATAAAATAGTTGAGTTACTGATAAGAATTCATGAGGTTAATTGACTATTCAGTTAACTGATATTTAACATCCCTAATCTGAATGGAATAATAAAATATTCAGATAATACATATTTGTTGCCAAAATTTAAAAAATAAATATTAAACCCACTCACTGGCTAAGCATCTGGAACTAGAATTTGTTGAAGTGCTAAAGCAGCTTTTGACAGCAGTAGCCTGGTGCTAAGAATATTCTCTTTATTTCATTTCAATAAATAGTTAATTTGAAGTTAAGGAACCAATTGGGAGTGGAAACCCTCTTCCTCCCCAAAAAGCATCTTTTCCTCTTCAAATTCAAACACAAAAACCCTGAGGATCAGATCTACTAGTTCTAAAAGTACTGAAGGACATGTGAACAAAACCAAATCAGTTAAATTAATTAGCTACAATAATATTTCCTCTAGTCAGTTGTTTTAAAGGTAATACTGTTTTGATACAAAAAATAAATGTACTTATACAGCACATTTAAGGTTTTTCTATAGTGCATCCCTGCTATAAGTTGCTCTGGTCTACATCCGTTCTGCACTAAAGTCATTGATACTTGTACAAACTGATGTGCTATAAGTCCTCCCATTCCCCACTCTTGAGTCGCACAGAAAAAAAAACTAGTGTTATTTTGAAATAACTTAGTCTGTGTCTACACAGCAGGCAGTTATTTCAAAATAATGTTGAAAAACTGTCAAGCTGGAGGACTTCTTACACCGATTCCTGTTACCCTCATTGTACAAGGAGTAAGGGAAGTTGGAAGATTGCTCTATTTCAAAATAAGTGCTGTGTAGACTAGTGTTTTCCAACCTTTTATAAGCATAATATCAATTTTTGAATTTAAGTGTAATCCAGGATGCACCTCAAATCCAAGCACCCTTACCTGGTCTCCTTCCTGCCCCTTCTCCAAGGCCTCACCCATGGTCACTCCATCCTCCCTCCCTTCCCCATACTCACTTTTAATCATGCTGGGGGCAAAGGGTTGGGATGCGAGGGAGGGAGATGGAGACTCTGATCTTGGGCTAAGGATTTGGAACGTGGGGGGAGTTCTGAACAGAGCCCCGGGTAGGGAGTTGAGGTGTAGGACGGATGCAGGCTCTGGCAGGGAGTCTGAGTGCAGGGGGACTCAGGGATAGGGCAATACCTTGAGGATCAACATATTGAGACTCTGTTAGGCCAAAGGGGAAGTGACAAATTAAGAAAGTTAACAATACTCCATTGAGAGTGTCTTATTCCCCAGCCATACTAAATTACGGATTGGCTTCTGTTGATCATAACTGCAGAGGTAATGCAGACTCCCAATGAGCATATTTTCTGCTGCAAAAACTTGCAGTGTAGACAAAGCTTAAGAGTAAAGGATATGTCCAAATACAGTACAAAACTCCATAGCACTCTGCTGATTTGCACTTATGGGGCATGAATTTCGGGTAGACGGGGGGCTAAAAATTGCAGTGGTGGTGTTTGGACTTACACTGCAGCTCAGATACTTGAGACCAGCCTGGCTTAAGTGCAGACATGGGCACAAGGTCCCAGAGCCAGGCTCCAGCCCAGCTGTCTACACTGCCATTTTATAGCCCTGCAAGTCTGAGTCAGCTGACATAGGCCAGCCACAGATCCTTTACTGCAGTGTAGATGTGTGCCAAGATACAAAGTGAAGCCCTTTATACTTTGAGCCCTATGCTAAGGCTAATCAAATGAGAATAGAGAGTGCTGGAAAGGATGGAAGGAAAAGCAGAATCTCTTGTACAAACTGTCTCTGACCCCCAGGG